ATGAGAAAAACAACTCAATTTTCATGATTTATTTCGCATACAGTATGCATCGTTTTGACATGCAATACTTATTTTGGATAAAAAATGGACATTGAAATCAATATATATATATATACACACACACATATATAGAAGTACGAATGCATGGACATTGAAATCAATAATATATATATATATATACACACACACATATATAGAAGTACGAATGCTTTGCTTTTGGGCTCTTCAACTTAATCTCAATAAAAAAGCTTGACAACTGTACAACTGTACATTCTTACTCGACACAACAAAAATTACAAGCCAAAATGGTAGGCTTAAATGTTACGAAGTTTGATTATAAAATTTTACTAATTATATTTGAGATTTTATGCATACTAACAAGATTGGCATAAATGGTTTTTCAACTTAATCATTAATTTAATGGGTCATGGCTCACATATATGGCCTAACAACATGGCTTTTTTCAAATGGAATTCTAGTGGGTTATCTGCAAAATTCCATTTGAAACAGCCATGTCGTTAAATTTCTGGAGTACAAAATAGTCATCCAAATACATAGTCCTGTAACTGGAAAATCAGTGGCAACTCTTTTTCTCCCTCTCTACATATAAACATGTATACATATATAAATATGTGTGTTTTAGTGTTTGATTTATCCCCATACACCAATCTCTCTCTTTCTATCCCTCATGGAATTATATTGTCATGTATGTGTTGTTAGGGCTAAAATGAATCAATGCATGTCCTCGATAAGCAATCATAAGCAATTAGTGGAGCTCAAATCGGAATCCAATGCAGCTATTGAAGCTCAACAAAGTTCGATTAGGGCTCAGCTGTTGACGTTTGCATGTGTTTGATTAGGGCTCAGTGATTCCTGCAAGTGATAAGGTGACCTATGTGGATGGTTTTCTATTTCGCTGTGTGAAAATGAAATGAAAATTGTACTAGATGATGTTTATGGTTATTGTAATAACTCTTTGCATACCATTTATGAAAAAAAAAAAAAAAAAAAAAAAAAAAAAAAAAAAAAAAAAAAAAAAATTGAAAGAGAAGATTGAGGAAAAAAAATGTTTGATGTTGTTTTCCTTTGATGTTGACCATAATTAACACTCCGATGCAGACAATACTCATAACATGTTTTATTTAATGTATGTACTAAAGGTAGGACAACAGTGTTCTTTAAATAAGTGCAACATTTATCATTCAATTTTGGGTAAAGTGAAAAAAAAAACCCAGAACTTTTAGAGTCTTGCAAGAAATTCCTTTAAACTAAAAGAAACCCTTCTCAACTTATGCTTTTTTATTGTATTTAACTCCAAGATGTAGTTCGATGTCAGAAAAATTAAAAGACCAAATTTGCCTTTTTATAAATTCAAACTTAACTTGACCACTAAAACTTAAATCTCAATACTATCTATTGTTACTTATATATATAGATATATATATGTGTGTGTGTGTGCGCGCTATATTTATTACTTACCATACAAAAACTAGACCACAAAGGAAAACGTAGGGAGAGAGATGGAAAGAAGAGAGCAAATAAAAAAAAGCAACCATGGCAGACCAAAGAGAGGAAATCAAAGACGAAGAAGCATCCATGGCAGAAGAGAGAGAGAGAGAGAGAGAGAATCAAGGATGTTCTACGCCTCCGTGCTGCTGGGTGCGATTTTTGGACTCCCTCGATTCGCGCCGCTTCGGCCGTGGTGGTTCCGACCACCCTGGTGACGCGAATCATGGTGCGATTTTCGGGGTTCTCTCGATTCCAGCATGAACCGATATTGAGAGTAGTGAGTTTGAATTTTTTGTTTTTTCATGCACGAGTGAATTGATTTGGGAATTCAATTTTTTGGATTTTCTAAAATTAGGGTTCTAAACAATTGGGTTTTTGTCTGTATATACAATAGCTAACAAATATGATGAAAGAGAGGCGGAGAAAGAGAAAGAGGGCATCGGTATATACATGACACATACATGTATGGTATGTGTGACCAGAATGCTCTCCTGTGGAACAGTATAATCTGTTCCCTCCTGTTTGCACTATTCAGGCACTGTAGCAGTGGTAAAAAGGGCCAAACAGGACTTTGGGTAAAAAAGGTATATACACACACAGATACATATACAAACAATACACACATAGACGAAATTATACATACACACAGATACGAAATTGCAGAAATTGAAACTCATGTTTAAGCGGCAAATTGGAAATTTTGGAACATATTTAGCGCCTCTTCTTCTAAGCTTCTTTCTTGTTTCTTCTTCTTCTCTCCTAATTTTTCTTCCTTCTTTCCAAATTTACAATTTTCGCGCCTCTTCTTCTAATCTTCTTTCTTCTTCTTCTCTCCCAAATTTTCTTCCTTCCTTCCAAATTTACAATTTATTTCCAAAGGTTTGGTTTGGTTGAACGTCGGAGAAGAGGAATCTACAGTGACGAATCGCCTCTTCTAAATATGTAATTTTATTTCTTGTTTTTCTCTCCCAATTTTTCTTCCTTGTTTCCAAATTTACAATTTTTTTCAAAGGTTCGATTTAAGGGCGGAGAAGAGGAAGCTACAGTGACGAAGGTAAAGCGCTAAAGCGCCTGTTCTTAATCTTCTTTCTTCTTCTCTCCCAAAATATAGAAAGAAATAAATTGATCTTTCCTACATTGTCCCAGCTTTCCTTACTTTTGTTCTTTCCAAAATTACAATTTCTTTGGAAAGGTTTGATTAAACGGCGGAAAAGAGGAAGGTGCAGTGTCGTGTGGTTGATTTATGGCCGAGGAAGACAAAGCTACAGTTTACTGGTTTTGTAAGTGAATTTGTGAATCGTATGACATTGTGTTTCATTAGTTTTGTTTGGTTATTCTTGAAGTGTTATTAAATTGTGAAAAATTGAATCAGAAATTGTGAAAATTATATTATGAAATTATGAAAAAGTTGTTATATTCTATATTATATGTTATGTTTTAAACTTCCAATTAAAGATGTTAGAATAAAATTTCCATTGTATTCCTGTAATGCAGTGTTTCATTCGTGATAAGTAGTACAATATATTTGGGATATTCTGTATAATAAGAAATGGAGGTTTTACACGTCCAATTGAATATGTTAGAATAAATTTTCCAGTGTATGACATGTAAGTTTCCATTGAGAGTTATGATTGTTCATTATAAATAACTTAACATGGTTGTAATGTTTTTCAAAATAAGCTGAAGACCTTCCCATCATTTCCCACAAACTAATGCTCCCACATTTCATCATTGTCAGTTACACAAGTGGGAAAAGTAAGGAAACAAATAAACAATGAAGTAAAAAAAAAAACCTATTGAATAAATTAGATATATGAAAGAGTGAAGGAGAATTAATGCAGATTCTTTTCACCACAATATTCTGTTGTTGTTGGTGGTAACAGTGATTTGGATTTCAAAGCGCCCATCTTCTCATGTGTATTGACATTGATAGTTGGCTTGTTCACGTCCTTTTGACCCTTTATTTCTATGTTCCCCTGTTTCTGCTTGTTTGTGAAGAAGTGAGCAGTGGGTTAGGAATTAAAGTCACTGTGTTTGTGTGTGTGTGAGAGAGAGAGAGAGAGAAAGAAAGACAATGGGTTCTCTGGGACTTGAAGTTGCAAAGAAAGCAATGTGGCTTTATCCAAAGGTCATGGGTTTTAATCCTTGTGAGAGATGGGGGCACTATGCTTGCTACTCCAATGGATTTGTCTATGTCTTTGGGTATGTATCTTTCTTTAAAATAAGAGAAATGAACTTGTTAGTTTATTTTTTTGCTTCTCATTATTCATTAATAATAATGCTATTTGGAGTGTATTTTCTTTGATCATGATGTTTGGATTCCTTCTCTTATTTTACTTAATTAACTCTGTTACTATCTGTGTGGTAGCTTTCATGATGTTCTCTTGTTATTCTTATTATTAGTATTATTATTATTATTAATTTTTATCTATTTAGTTTTCAGTTTTGGGTAAAAATTTATGCTCTTTTTTGTTCTAGTCTGTTGGTATAGTTATCTTTGGCTAATAACATGTTAACTTTCCACAAATGTTATAGTTTTTTCCTGTTCTTTCTCTAATATTTGATTCTTGTTGGTTTGTCTTTGTTTTAATTTGTCAAATTAGTTGGGATGTTGTTCGGTTGCATGATTAGCTACATCACACTACTACTCTTGGTTTGTTGACATGGAAATGTTTTTTCAATTCTTATTGTTGTTTCTTCTTAGACCCCTAAGTTAACGGTTGTAATGTTTCTCAAAATAAGCCGAAAAAAGTTTGCAAGTCCATGTTTGATTTAGATAAAGTTAAATGAATACTTGAACATAGTTATAATTAGTTTGAAAATAGGAGGCCCAAAAAGGTTGGAAGTGCATGTTTGAGATGGAAAAAGTGAAATAAATCATTTATTTTGTTAGTTGTAGCAAAATTATGATGAGTGCAGTTGAGGAAGTCGGTTCTCTGATACATTATACCATCTTGAATTATGTTAATAGGTCAGAAAATATTTCGAATTAATAATTCATACCTGCAACATAGGCCTTCGTTGAAACATTCTTTTGTTTTTTTTCTTTTATTGTAGGTTTCTGATTTGAATTGTTGGAATGGAAGAGGTATTAAATAACATCGAAGACACCACATATACAGAAAACTCTCCTATTGCAGGGGCAAATGTCGTAGAATGGAAACCAAGAATAGGTATGAAGTTTGTAACTGAGGAAGAGGCATATGATTTCTTTAATTCATATGCCGGTCGAGTCAGTTTTAGCATCCGCAAAGAGTATTTTAATAAGAGCAAGAAGAGTAGTAAACTGTCATCGAGATTGTTAACATGATGCAAGGAGGGTTTCAGGGGTGATGACATTCGGGACAGTAATACAAAGACTCCCAGGGCCGAAACACGAACTGGTTGCCTTGCTCAAATGCTTATTCAAGTTTCCAAGTATACGCATAAGTTTGAAGTTACAAAATTTGTTGAAAGCCACAACCATCCATTGATGATTGATGATCGAATGCATGCACATGCTACCGTCGCAGCGTAGAATTAGCCGCGTTCAGGCCATTGATTTGGAATTGGCTTCTGATTCAGGAATAAGCCCTCGCAATTCATATGAGTTGATGGGAAGGCAAGTTGGTGGAAAAGAATCAGTCGGGTACATGAAGTTAGATTTGCTAAACCATATAAGGACCCGAAGACAAACTGAGCTCAAATATAGAGAGGCAGCATGGCTAATGAATTATTTTGAGACTCAGTCTTGTGAAGATCCATCTTTCTTTTATGCATTCCAATTGGATAGTGATCAAATGATTACTAACATATTCTGGGCTGATTCAAAAATGATAGTTGATTATTGCAATTTTGGAGATGTTGTAAGTTTTGACACAACATACAAAGTTGTACATGGCAACCATCCATTTGGAAGTTTCTTGGGGTTGAATCATCACCGGGAGACCGCTATGTTTGGAGCAGCGTTCATGTATGACGAGACTACAAAGTCGTTTGTCTGGTTGTTTGAAACATTTTTGAAAGCAATGTCCGGTAAAGCGCCAAAGACGATCTTCACTGATCAAGATGCTGTAATGGGAAAGGCATTGACACAGGTGATTTCAATTCAGATCTTCACTCTTTGCATTTCCTGTTGCATTATTATGTAGTTATATTACAGAAAATAATTATGCAGGTGATGCCAAGGACAAAACATTATTTGTGTGTTTGGCACCTAATGCAAAATGCACAGAAGCATCTAGGGTTCTTGTTTAGACGTGTGCAAGGCTTTAAGAAAGTGTTATCAAAATTAATGTTTCAAATTGAGGAGGAGGAAGAATTTACCAGGGAATGGAATTTAATGATAACAGAATATGGTGTTGTTGGTAACACGTGGCTTACAAATCTGTTAGGTTTGAAACATAGATGGGCCATGGCATTTATTAAACATGCCTGGTCCACGGGTATTCACAACACACAACTAAGTGAAAGCTTCAATGGTTGCTTGAAGGCATACTTATCCAGGCAACTAATTCTTCCAGATTTCTTAACACACTTTGAAAAGCTGTTGTCTGATAAACGTTACAAGGAGTATGTAGCCGAGTATGGGTTACTCCACAATCTACCTCAACTAAAAACAAACTGTAACATATTAGTAGAGGCGACAAACCTGTACACAAAGGTTATATTTAATAGTTTCCAGGAGGAGTTCTTAACAGCTGGTGCCAGTCAGAGGATCATTGGTTGCAGTCCCATCGAGGGCAACGGAGGCTGTGTTTACAAAGTCGTTGGTGAGGATGGAATGCAACGCGACGTCACGAGGACATCAGAAGATGAATTGTTTTGTTCTTGTTGTAAATTTGAAAGGGAGGGTATTATGTGCAGGCATAGTTTGAAAATCTTAAAGGACTTCATGTTCGCTAATACATTGCCTCATCGATATATATTAAGAAGGTGGACTAGAAGTGCAAGAGATGGCAGCTTGGAGGAAAATCTTTCTGGTGAAATGATTGCTAATGTTGATCCAAAAATTGAGGTTAGGAGATCGCATAGGGTACTTTGTCATATTCTGACAGAAATTTCGTCCATTGTATCGGAGGATAAGAACCGATACAATGATTTGTTAGTGAAAGCCATGGAGTGGAAAAAAATTGCCCAATCAAGTTATAGGCGTAGGTTTGCTGAGAGGAATGCAATTTATATTGCTAGTAAAGGCAAAAACCAATATCACGGGAGCAACATAAATACTGACAAAATCCCCAATGGCCTTAAGTGTAAAGATACATGGAAAGGAAAATTTAACAGGTTAAAACCGACCATAGAGCTAAAGAGTCTCAATAAAAGAAAATCACTGAAATGAACAGTTCAGCTTCAGGTACTTTTATCCCCTTACTGTTTTCCAAGTAGCTTCATAAGTAATTCTAGTTGTGTGTATTAAATTATACATACGTAATACTTCTCATAATTGTGTTGTAGAATTGCAATGAAGCCCTTCAATCCGGAGATGCAGGTGCCAGTAGTCATAGTGGAACAATCCCCTACCACGTGTTAGTGAATGTGAGTATTGTTGCATAACTATTTTCAGCACATTGTTCAACATTTGTTTTTTTTTTTCCCCCTAAATGATAGGAGTGTATTGAATATAAACAAAACCTTTGTCACACAAAACGAATAGAGGAGGGGTGAAATGGTCTAATTAAAAACTTTTCTCTTTGAAAACAAAACCAATCAATCATAACTCAAGCACATAACACAAAATTACAAAGGAAAACCCTCTCAATAGGGAAAAACCTTGGTTCTTGGCCTCAGCCAATAAAGCATCCACTAGCTGCAAGTATCTTGTTACACACTCAGATGTCTCACTCTCTGCACACACCCTTGTACAAGATTAGACACTAGCTTTCACAACCAATACTCACACACTAGCTCACTAATGTGCACAGATGCACTCCCCCTATCCAAAGCAACCCTGCTTGGACTTATAAGCTCTCAGTAGCTAAATCACCAATGGAGTAAGATGTCAATACATATAGAACATACTACTTCAGCTGCAACAACAATAACAGAATGCAATACACAGCCTCAAGTAGAACAATGTACAACCTTAGTCTTCAGTTTTTTTGCAATCAAAGGATAAAATTGTTAAAACACAATGCAGCTTCAGTTGATGCTCAAGCTAGGTTCCCACAGCCTTGTCTCAGTTCAACATACTTGCACAAATACGTATTGGATAGCGAATAGCAACTTCCGTTAACCATTCAGCTCAAATACACTTTAAACCCTCTTCAAAGGGTAAATCTGTCAACTCACAGAGTATCTTCTGTAAGAACCCCTTTTAATGTCATCATACCTTTATAATCTCAGTATATAGTTGGTAAAATGATGAACACATTAATCAAAGCAAGATAAAACACTTTCAGCCCCAAAACAGATTGTTTTCTGCAGAAACACTTCAGCTGGCAGCAATAACTTTACACAGATAATGTACCACCTCTATTCATCTTAAACCTGTGTAATCTCAGTTGCCAAACAATACCCTACACTTGCTTAACATATAGGATTGATGAACCAAGCAAGTTAAACCACTTCAATGCATATTTCAACATATCTCATCTCATAAGAAGCAAGATTAGGCTTAAATCAATAGTAACACTGCTCAAAGGGTAGAAATGGAATTTTGACTTTTGTCAGGACTTATCCAGGTTCTTATAGTCTTATATAAGCATTCTACTTATGTTTAAATGAAGATAACAATGATAACAGCATGATATCTCATATTCAGTTCTCAGTTCACAACAATGAGGTTGAAACCCTACGTAATTGAAGTTTACAAGGCCAACACAAAGACTTGTCCATTTTCTGAATTTAACCTAACTTTAACAGCTTCAAATCATCAAGTTAATCATGCTCAGATAGTTACCACAACTTTCATAGAAGGTTAAATCATTATATATCAGCACAGTAGGAATTTTACTTCAAAATATTCAAACAACAAGCTCAGATATATCAAATTCTGTATATGTGTGTCTTTAAGGTAATACCTGAGTTCAGCAGATGTAAATAAGAGTATTCAACTTGATTAAACCTTATTCCAGCTCGTTCAACCTCTACAGCAACATTTGATACCTCAGTCCAACAGTCTGAACAGCAGCCAAATTACACCAGCAGCACTTAATTCTTTGCAGGTCTTGAAGAGATATTGCACACATAGTTAATTTCTAAGATTTAAACTAACTTTACATGGTTAAATCACTGCTCAGAATTAATCATTTAGGTCCTCTTCACATTTCACTCAAGAACAGCCTCTAACACATATGAAAATCTATTCTTAGGGCTTAAGTCATGCAGCAGCTATAACCTTCCATTTATACTCAGAACCTTTGCTGATGTAGGCCTAAAATGGATGGATAGATATGAGCTAAGGTCCTTCAATCCATGAGGGAAGCAAATCTGACATTGTAGAGGTGATAGTACCTTTATACCCTTGCCAACACACCTTCTTTTGGCCTGCAGCTGACAGCATTGATAGTCCACCAATATATATATATGTAAATACACCAGCTGCAATGTAACATGCACACATTGTGTAGCTGTCAATACACTCTCTCACAAGGACCACATTACACATGTCCACACCTGGTAGCCTCTCACAGAATTACAAACAAAACGTCCCTACAATTGCCTTTTGACAGACCAGTAACAAACACCCTGCTGTATCATTTTTAGACTATGTGATTGATCTGTTACATTATAAAAAAAAGCTCAAACCAGCAATGTAGCTCTACAGAAAACAATGTAATATTGATATTAGGATGTGTGTAAAGACAAAAATACCCTTCGCTGTGGCTGTAGACAAAATGAGTGTGCTGTCACAGAATTCACATTCACTAAACTGAATATAGCTGTTATGACTTATTTGTAAGTTCTGTAGGCTATTTATCTGGATCAATTAATTAGAAATTCATTGAGTGAGCCTCCACCCTATGCTAACATGTTCGTTATGGTTATAAGTTATTATCTGGCGAAATGTTTTACAACATTTATTTTCTAGGGCTGTGAAATTCCAGTTGAATTTCTCAATGAAGAAAATTATGTGACACCACCAGAACGTGTTATGCATCAGACAAGGTTTTCGCAACCTGGTGAAGCAAGTACTCCATTAACTAACTAGGCAAGTTTTGCTGTTAAGATGGAACCAACATATAAATTGCAATTTACAAAGTCGCATATTTATTTAATTAATTGTTTATAATATATAAGGAAAAATATAAAATGTTGCAAACCTTTGTTGTTGATTCATGCAATTCCAATACCAATTATTCACATGATGATTGCTTTAGTGATGGTTTCAGAATTGATAAGGTACATAGTTATCCTCATCAACTCAATTCGTACCACTATAATTATTTTGCAATTTTTTTCTGTGTTGTCATGCTATCTAATTTGATTGCATTTTGTGGCATGATCATATTGAAAGATAGCAGATTTAAATAATTGTGAATAGAGTGTCAGGCGAACGCCTGAAATGCCAATCGCGGAGCTGGACCGACCAATTCAACGATTCTTTCCTACTTGACAATCATTACATTATGTATTGCACATTGTTTTTATAATGTTGTTTATTTAACTCTGCTTAATTGTTGTTCACTTTTATAACAATATCGAGGGGTTGGTGAACTTTGTATAATTTTCTATATTATCAAAATTATATTAAGTGGTTTTGATCATTTATTATGAAATTGAGCATACTATTGACATATGAGTGTAACTCAAGTATTTGAATTGGGGCAAATGCATTGAAAATATTTGCAAGGGCCAAATTAATATAATACAAATGCAACAACATTGTGATCCACTTATGCAACTGCATATGTAGCAGTTATCGTAATACTAATATACGTATATGCGTTATACTTTATGGGAAACCTCGTAATAAATTTGTGAACCACAATTTCGAAGGCCTAAACGAAACTCATCCAAATATAACTGTCAGCTGATAATTTATGCAAATATATATGTTGCATTTATCGTTAGATTTTTATAGGTAATATCCTTAGTAGTTTAATCAAACATCCCAATAAATTTGTAACATAAATTCTAAGGCCCAAAGGAAAATCATGCAAATATAACTCCCAACTGATACAGTTATGCAAATATACATGTTTTATGTATCCTTAAATTTTTATAGATAATATCCTATTAATTTATAAGAAACATCCTAACAAATTTGTAAGACTATTTCCATGGCCCAAAAGAAAATCATCCGAATATAACTCCCAACTGACCCATTTATGCAACAATATATGTTGAATTTATCCTTAAATTTTAATAGATAATATCCTACTAATTTATCGAAAACATCCCAACAAATTTGTAAGACCATTTCCCTGGTTCAAAGGAAAATATCCGAAAATATCTCCCAACTAACCCATTTATGCAAATATATATGTGTCATTTATCCTTAAATTTTTATAGATAATATCCTACCAATTTATACAAAACAACCCAATAAATTTGTTAGACCATTTCCATTGCCCAAAGGAAAATTAACCGAATATAACTCCCGACCGACCCATTTATGCAAATATATATGTTGAATTTATCCTTAAATTTTTATAGATAATATCCTACCAATTTATAGAAAACATCCCAACAAATTTGTAAGACCATTTCCCTGGCCCAAAGGAAAATCATCCGAATATAACTCCCAACTGACCCATTTATGCAAATATATATGTTGAATTTATCCTTTAATTTTTATAGATAATATCCTATGAATTTATAAGAAACATCCTAACAAATTTGTAAGACCATTTCCATGGCCCAAAGGAAAATTATCCGAATATAACTCCCAACTGACCCATTTATGCAAATATATATGTTCAATTTATCCTTAAATTTTTATAGATAATATCCTATCAATTTATAGAAAACATCCCAAAAAATTTGTAAGACCATTTCCCTGGCCCAAAGGAAAATATCCGAATATAACTCCTAACTGACCCATTTATGCAAATATATATGTTGAATTTATTCTTAAATTTTTATAGATAATATCTTACCAATTTATAGAAAACATCCCAACAAATTTGTAAGATCATTTCCCTGGCCCAAAGGAAAATCATCCGAATATAACTCCCAACTGACCCATTTATGCAAATATATATGTTGAATTTATTATTAGATTTTTATAGATAATATCCTATTAATTTATAGAAAACATCACAACAAATTTGTAAGACCATTTCCATGGCCCAAAGGAAAATCATCCGAATATAACTCCCAACTGACCCATTTATGCAAATATATATGTTGAATTTATCCTTTAATTTTTATAGATAATATCCTACAAATTTATAGAAAACATCCTAACAAATTTGTAAGACCATTTCCCTGGCCCAAAGGAAAATCATCCGAATATAACTCCCAACTGACCCATTTATGCAAATATATATGTTGAATTTATAATTAAATTTTTATAGATAATATCCTACCAATTTATAGAAAGCATCCCAACAAATTTGTAAAACCATTTCCTTAGCCCAAAGTGAA